TGGCAACCAATATATACCGTTTTTGTCCATGGCGAGAGGTAAGTGCAATTGGGCCCACAAAATCAATACTCCATTTTTCAAAAGGTATCTGTGCCAGAATTGGAACTAATGGCATCGCGGATGTACCCATAGGATGACCAATTCGCTGGCATGGGTCACAACAATGTGCAAATTGGTGAGCATCCGCAAACATTGTCGGCCACCAATATCCCGCTTGTAAAACTTTACGTGCTGTGCTGTCGCCTGCAAAATATCCACCACAACTATCCAAATGACATCCTTCCAATATAGTGCGTGCTTCATTCTGATAAACGTAACGGCGTAAAATTCCATCTTTCCCTTGTTTATATAAAGTTTCTCCAATCATAGTATAAGGTGCGCTTTTCAAAACCAATCTTCTCTTAAGCTTCTCCGTAAAATGGAAAGGAAAAGTTTGAAAAGTCAAATACTGTATCAATTCGCTATATTCCAACGTAATTAGGTCGACAAGAAATAACTCGTCGTCAGGTAATGCATCAGGAATGGATTCATTTCCCAATATATTGGACAGTCGCGATAGATGGTCCGCATTGGCATGCGACTTCCCCGGCCGTACATTAATAGTAAAATCAAATTCTTGTAAAAGCAATACCCATCTTGCGATGCGGCCACTCAACTGGGGCTTGTTAATCATACATTTTAAAGCGTCATAATCCACGTGGAAGACAAATTTATATCCAAGAAGATAATGCCGAAACTTTTGGACAGAATAAATCATTCCCAAAGCCTCTCGCTCAGTTGTAGTGTAATTCCGTTCGGCAGCCACCAACTGACGGATTGCATAATAAATAGGATGATCATGGCCCTTGACATCCTTCTGGCTCAATACCGAACCAATCGCAACATTAGAGGCATCAACATAAACCTCAAAAGATTTTATCCAACAAGGGGCAACCAATATTGGTGCAGAAACCAATTTTTGTTTTAATGTTTCAAACGCAACTGTACATTCCTTGGTCCAAATTGGTTCGAGACTGTCTGGTGGTTGCTTTTTCAACAAATTTGTCAATGGAATATAGATAATAGCAAATAGATAAATAAAACGTCGATAATAGCTAATATGCCCAATAAAGGTGCGAACACCTGTCATTGTATCAGGTATTTGGAGTTCTAGTATAATTTTTATTTTATTTGGATCGGTGGCGATACCTGTTTCCGATACGATATGACCCAATAATTTTCCTGAGGGTACCCCAAATTTATATTTTTTTGAATTCAAAGAAATTCCAAATTTAGCACATTTGCCTAAGTACCGACCCAATTTGTCTAAGTGTTCTTCTCTAGTGCTGAATGTGCAGAAATCATCTAAAAAGATTTCCATTGAAACCCGTAGCTCATCTTGGAATGCTTGCATCATCACCCTCTGAAATGTAGCTGGCGCATTACAAAGTCCGAAAGGCATGACCTTATAAGCAAAAGTTCCCCAATCCGTAGTAAACGTAGTCTTTAATTGATCCTCCTTTGTAATTTGTACCTGATTATATCCGAAAATACCATCAAGAAACAAATAACATTTGTGGCCTACTACTGCGTCTAAGATACTATCCATAAATGATAAAGAAAAGTAATCCTTCTTTGTAGCAGCATTCAACTTTCAAAAATCTTGGCAAATTCGGACTTTCCCGTTCTTCTTGGGAACCATAACTATCGGCGAAATCCATTCACTATGTGGTACAGGATATATAAATCCTACCTCCAGAAGCTTATCCAATTCCTCCTTTACCATCAACGAATATTTAGGATTCAGTCGATGTTGCCTTTGTCGTACTGGTATAGCCGTGTCCTCCAATTTTATTCGATGCTCACAAACTTCAGCTGGAATACCCTTCAAATCTTTATAAGACCAAGCAAAAGCTGATTTATGTTTTATAAAATAATCTGTCCAAAGCTCTTTAGTTTTACCCGTTATACCATCATAAATTTGAATCAATTTGGGATTATCCTTTGTGCCTAGATTTATTGATTGACACTTTGGTCCATTAAGAGCTTCAGCGGTAATCTTCTGCTCTGTTTTGGGATATTTCATAAACTCCGATAAATTGGAGCTTTCCAATTCGAGATCTATAGCATCAACTTGATTAACATCTCTTCGCTGCATCTAGTGTGCAATCATATGATCTGAATCATCAATAACGTCTGGAGGAACAAAACATTCCCTGGTCCTCCACAATGGTAAATATTCCTATTTTGTACTGCAACTTCCCGTGCCTCGACAGCCTTTGATTTTGAAACAACCAGTTCTTCTTCCGTATACTCCTGTTCGCAGTCCGATGTATATTCTGGACTGGTAATTTGAGTTTCTCCATGATACTGGACAGGATACATTTTGAGCACTATTTTATCCTTACCCTTTCCAATTTTTAGCGTTCCACGACCCCAATCGTTCCGAGCTTCAGCTTGATATAGCCACGATCGACCCAACAAAATTGGATATGACAATACTGTGCTTTGCAATCGGAATACAATATAATCAATTGTGTATGTAATCCCCGCAACAACTGTATCGATTCCTCGTAAAGTATCCATAGGTCGGACTCGACTTGAATCTGCCATTCGCAAAACAACCGTAGTTGGCATTAATTGGTCCAATCCCAATTCTTCCATTGTATCCACATTCATGAGGTTAACGCTAGCTTTGCCATCCACTTGTACACCCTGAACTAATACTCCATCAATTGATACATCAATAGTCGGCGCGCCTGGATCCGGATTCAAACTTACTTCACAAATTTCTTTTTGACGAGTTCTTCGTTGAATCAAAGAAGAGTTTAAGGTGTTACGGCATTCTGGTGCTACTGCCATTAATTGCTTTATTGTGATTGTTGGTTGAATTGAACCTAAATCCTTCAGAATATCATAGGGTTCCATATTGGTCATGATTCCCAATGTCTTTTTTTTCTTACGGATTTCGGATCCCGGTCCCTGTATATTGGTACTTTCAATATCAGGAATTGGTACTTCCTCGATTTTTGGTTGCAACTGCTCCTTGAAAATGGGATCCTTTAACTAATGCGACTGTCCACCGTATTGATGTAATATTGGTACTTGTAAAATTGGTGGACGCACCAATATATTGGTCGAATTGGGTTGTGACGGTGACGCTTCATCCAATAATGGAGCAGATTTTGGTATTGGTCTGTTGACTGGGGTTGGTATCGATTTCTCCAATATTTGAATTGGTTCTTTACCTTTTTGCTGATTTCTTGTCAATACTGCGTGAATCGCTTCCACCCGATGTACCGATGATTCCTGTGGTTTGTTTGTTTCTTCTATAATTTGCATTGTTGATGTCATGTGCTGGTCCCTACTATTTGGATTAAAAGGCACATTACATTGGTAGTGGTAATGACCAGATTTCTTATAATTTGCGCAAAAAGGTGTGTATTCTTCGACAAATCTTGGGTTGTTGCAATCACTTGCATAATGACCCAATTGGCGGCATCGAAAACAACGAACTGATTTTCTTCCTGTCCCGTCAGGGACATTGGGAGTCTCCGTCGAGACATACCTTCCAGATCGGTTCCATGTTGCTGCAGTAAAGGATCCAGGTTGACTAGTTGTCGCCATTGCTGAATTGGTCTGTTGTATTGGCATCGATGGTTGATTTCCTATTTGATTTTGGCCACCATTCTGCATATCGGTCCCGTAGGGCTGATTATAGTTAGGATTTTGGAAATTTCTGAAACCACGATTCATTCTATTATTTCTATTTCCATTCCATCCACCCATATTTCCTGTTTGCACTTGATTTATATCCCATACAGTTGGTTGTATCATTGTTTGTTGTCTTGGTAAGTACCAACAATTGGCAGTGTTATGCTTTCCTCCACAATACATACACTGTCCCATCTTCTGATGAGGCGAGGGACATTCCGTATCAAAGTGTCCCTGCCCTTTACAGTTGTTACACCATACATTAGGTCTCATATTAGAAGGTTTATGCCTTTTCTCTTTATCTTTAGTCATATGCACGGCTAATTCTTCCATTTTCTTTGTTAGATTTAACAATAGAGCTTCGTTAGAATCGTTAATTATTGCATTCATCGGTACTTCAGGTTGTCGATATGCCATCGGCGAAGGATAAGTTGCCACGGGTGGTAACGCCTGCAAAGGAGTGGCATTAACTACTCCTTGAGAATTGGGATTTCCCATACTAGGTGCAATCATTCGTGGGTAGCTCCCTATCATCGTATTGGTCGTTGGAACTTGATTTCCTACACTAGGAATCATTGTGGTTCCCACCATCAACAATTGATCATAATGGCACTCCTCCCACACCTTTGCACGTGCTAAAGAGGCAGCTACCGTAACTGGTTGAGACTCCTTAACAAACATCTTCAATTTTGGGGGATGCAACCCATTCACTATTATTGACAATATAAACGCGTCTGGCATTTGATTGTTTGGCCATTTACGTAATATATCTGCAACTCGGCCATAATACGACTCCACCGATTCTCCCACAAACATTTTACTGTTCAGCAAATTTTCCCGAAGACGATCTTCGAATCATATTGGTCGAAAATGAGTTAAGAAAGCATTTTTCAATGCTTCCCAATTAGGAAATTGTCCCACTAGTTGTCGAATATACCATTCAAACATTGTATCCTTTAAAGTCGCTGGCAGCCATCGCAGCCAGACATCTTCAGTTCTGCCATTATTGGCTACACACGCTGTCAAAAATTGGGACAGGTGTTGATCGGGATCAGAATCCGGCCATCCATTAAACGTGGGTAATGGAGCCACGCTGGTGGTGCGATCTCCAATTGCTCCCAGCTGTACCGCTATTAGCACTGCAGGTGCTTCTTCTGCCATTGGTGCTTGCGCTGGTCTTCTTGCTATATTAATATGAATTCTTCTTTTTGTTCCAATTTGATATTTGATCACTCTTCTTTCTTGTAAACTATCGCTATTATTCAATTCTTTTGTACTTAAACTTCTTATAATTACTGAACTTGACTCTAACGCTTCGTTACTCGCGGTATCCCCTACAAGCACTCGCGGTAATTTCTCCAATGGTATATAATGGTGCAATATTGCACTTCTTTCAGAACTTGGATATGCTCGAATACTCGCACATGCATGCAACCACGGCTTTATCCAACTCCATTGACGTTTCTTATGTTGAATCCCTTCTTGTTGTTGTCATAATAAATTTCTGAAATAAAATCGCTCCTGTCTTTCCTTTACTTGTTGATTCCTTCTGTGATTATCATAGTCATAATCACCGCTCATACTCCTTCGATCTCGTCTTTTGTACCATCAATTCTTTAACTTTTCATACTGTTGTCAATCCCCGGTAGCGGCGCCAAAAATGTAATCGTCGTTTGACTCGGACTCAAAACACCAAGATATTTGATCAGTATAGGTGGGTTTGATCTCGGGGAAAGACTCGTTGTATGAATTGGATATGTTATGTCACAATTGATTATGTATTAATTATCTAAAACTTCCAAAGTTCTCTTCTTCATCTCAATTCAATCCCTTCACAATCTCTACAATTGTTCATTGCCCTGCAGCTACTCAATATCACTGACATTCCTCACATCTACAGGATGCTTAATCTCTTTCCACAATACTTCAATTCTCAATTCCTTTACTTTTACTCAATCTTCCAGTGCTACTAATACAATGCAATAATCTCTATTATCACAATCACACTTTCTTTCTCCAAATTAATTAATTCGAATTCATAATTTTCAATATCTCAATCACAGTTTCAGCAATCTTTTTCTTAAATCCAATACTAAAGAAAAACACAAAAGCAAAGAAAACAAAAGGGTAGCTCCAAGCTTTACCCTGGCTCACGACTATCACAGTCTGGCCTCCATTCCTTCTTCCTCAATCTCTTTATCCTACCAAAATATGAATCGTCATTCAGTCGATTCCACAGGTTGTGAAACTTTGGCTTCATAACCGCATATGTTCCTAACTTCCTACTATTAACAACTAATTGAACTAACCATTCATCTAAATCCCAATATTACTACTATTTAATCGATAACGAACCAAAAAAGTCATTTATACATTCTACAGTGATTAACATGGCTAATCAAAGTCAAGACACTCTTTTGCAGTAAATTAGTAGTTGTAGAATGATGATGGGAGGTAAAGAGTACTCCTTCACATTCTATGTTATATACATGCATCCTAGCAAAAATTCATATCTATTGCTTCTAGGTAGACCATTATTAAGAGCAGCAATTACGAAGATTGATTGAGGTGGTAAAGAGCCCATAATATTTATGATCTACAAGAAAATCTTAAAAAAATCGTCATTCAATTCCAACGATTGTTGTTGGACAAAACTTCATCTCACTCTTCAGAAGATGAGATTCTAAATTCACAACTATGTAAGGAATTAAAAAAAAAAAAAAAAAAAAAAAAAAATTGTCCATTTAGAGGAAAAAGAACTGGTTTATTCTAGTATATAGTTTAAACTACTCCATTAAGTTGCATGGGCCCAGGACTATACAATTAGAAAGATGATGGAGAATTCATCTAATAGTTAAAAATTCATCCTACTTCAAGTGAAGATGAAGTCGTAAGTGTTAACTACATAGATAGTTTTACCTCTTAGCAAAATAATGAAGTAGAAGTCGATTAAGCAACCTTAGTGGATGACATAAAAATTGAAGACATCTTTGGAGTAAAATTTGATAGCACTCAATGCCAAGAATTAGAAGTTGTAATTAGAAAATTTGACCTTAAACTCCCTCTATAATTTAAACAAACTTCTAGTGGTCTTTGACTGGAAATAATATAGCTATCTATCCACAAATATCAAACAATTAGTATAAAGAATCCTTAGAAAAATTTTATGTACACAACCTTGATTATAAATTGATATATGTTACTTCAAAAAATGAGGATTAAAAACTCATTAAAGTGGAATTTTAATTAATCAAGGCTATACAAAAAAAAAGAAAAATTACCTTTAATAAGGGATGTCGTATTACATATTGTCTTGCTTAGGAATGCATCAGGCACCTAGTTGTAGAAGGTGAGATTCTATTTCACAAGTAGCCAAGAAACCCTAATAGGTTTTGTCCATACGAGAAGAATATAATCTGAATTTTAATTCAAAAGTGCTAAAAATACTCTTTTTAGTAGTCTTAATCATACATAAACCCCAATTACCTTGTTACTTTCATATTTAAGCAATTTAGATTTTTCTTGTAAGCCCCAATCCTAATTAGTGAGCTTTAACAAGCTGTAATATCCAATCCGACCGTCCACTTGATGTGGAATTTTGCATGCAATTGTCAATGTAAGTCTTCTATATGCTTAAGAATTTTTAGCTCAATCCAACTTACAAATTGTGAGAAAACATCCAAAAATTGCACTGATGTCACTTGGCCGCCAACTTGAAAAGTGAAGCAAAAATCCTAGTAGTGATTTCTCCCTTTCTAACCATTAATTTTGTCTCAAAATTGGTGTATAGCTTGATCTTTAAATGAATCCCTATTTTGCCCTAGGCCATCATTTTAGTGGCTAGAGGTCTGATTTCGACCTTGTCTCACAAACGGTTGATCCCCGAGTATCAATTTAACCTATCCTAAGGATTTTTTAGTCCAATCCTACTCTCAATTTAATCCTAGTACCAACTATTCTTATTATTTATCTCTTTTAACTTGATTTTATTAATTTATGGTCATTCTAAGATTATAGAAGAGTCTCTACAATGTAGAAGGTAAATTATAACTACCTTTACTACTACTATAAG